TTTATCTTAATTGATGACAGAGAAGTTGTTTAATTTGGGTAGAAGTAAATGTTTGTTGGAATTCTTCCACATTCTTTTTTTCGTATGTAAGAGCCAAAAATTGACTTAGGGGTTGAATTTCTTGCTGAAATTAGACTTACAAGAGTAGAACAGGGTCAAACTAAGATTAAAAATGTTCCAATTGCTGTGATCCCAGAGGGATTCTGGTGTTGCCCCTCTCCTTTGTCTTCCAAAAGTCACTCATGACACAGAATCCTGTAAGCAAGCTCAAATCATCTCCTCTGGATCCTAGTACTTAAGTTCAGAAAAAGAAAAATCGAAAAACGAGAAAAAACCCAATGTAATTGTATAACGATATCAAAGTATGAAAACTCGCAAGGAACTAGTGTAATTTATAAATTATGTCGTTTTTAGTATTATTGTAATATTATTTTGTATTTTTATCATCATTAAATTCATGGCTAAACTCAAAGTTTGGCATTGATTAAATTGTGTCCGCACTGATCAATATACTTGGCTCCGCCCCTGCCCTAAATGACACCTAATTGAAACAGTTAGCCATGTCGATTTGTCCGATAGTTGCTTTAACCACAAGTAAATAAATGTTCTAATTGAAACGAAATTAAGGTTGAGTGACCAATTTGGAAGGATTTGATTTCAAGGCGAGTGACTAAAATAAAGCTTTGCTGTAAGTTGGTTGATCAACATCAACTGACCAACCGTGTTTTTTACCCTAAAGTAGTTTTTGCTTCTGTGTCTTAGGTACTTCATTATTGAGACATATTAAGGATAATTACTCAACTAGATTGGAATTCAGTGCTGCTCTGAGTTTTGGAACACTGACATTATCTGTAACAATGGCTACTTCTGCAAAAATTCTGAAGGGCGAAAAGCCAACTGCAACCGATGACTGGATCATTGTTATGCCACGTCGTGGGATAAAGACTAGGAGCTTCAACAAGATTTTGATCCCAGAACAACAAAGAGAAGAGAAACCATGGACTCCAATGGATCTCGAAACAGATCCTGTAAGAGAATCAAAATTAATGCAGAAAATGCAGATTTGTATTCAGAAACTCGAGAACACTGAATTCTTCCGTTCTTTCTTGCACCAAATGCAAGATCCTGATATGCTGGCTAAGTTTCTTAAGGTGTTGGGTCCAGAAACTAAGATGGCGATGGTGATATATGGTATTGGTAGCATTGAATCATTTGAACCACCTCGTTTGCAACTTAGCCTTGCAATTTTAATGAAGAGGAAATTTGATTGGATTGGAGAAATAGAAGTGTTTGATCCAATAATTTCTTTGACGGAATCTAAGGTTTTGACATCCCTGGGATGTTGTGTTCTATCAATCAATGAGCAAGGTCGCCGACAAGCTTTAAAACCTACACTATTTTTCATGCCACACTGCGAGGCTGAGTTATACGAGAATCTCTTGCAAGTGAACTGGGGAGTAGATAAATTAAATCGTATTGTCCTGTTTGGTAATAGCTTTGAGGCATATGAGCACCATGTATCGGTGTTTAAGAACTCCGTTATTGTTAATTCAAGGAAGCATATTCTGGCTGTCAGGAGGTTCACTAAAGAATTTATCGTCAGTACTTTTTCAGATGATTCTATTCGAGCCTTTCATGGTTCGAGTTGGCATTTTTTTGATCTCAATTGTGAGACAGATTTGCAAACGTTGGACGATAAGCACTATATAATTGCATGATAAAGAGTGTATTATACAGTTATTACAAATATTTCATTTCCTTCTGTTCCGGAGCACTTGAAAATTGAACTTCCATGTCTTTTTTTCTCCCATTTCGAAGCTTAGTGACTTCTGTCTTCATGTACGCCAGTAGGCATATGTTTTTGCTGTCCTTCACGTTTCCAAATTTAGTTTTTCTTGCAATTTGTTTCCTCTACATGTTTACTATTGCTTGTTCTTTTACACATTAGTAGTAGTGGTTGGTGATAAATGGTTTGACTGCGTAGACTTTGCTGATATTCCATAGAACTTTTGCCCCTACTGGAAATAATTCCTAGATCCACCCTACACCCACACGCTGGAGCAATTGGGACACCAACTCAACATTTTTTCCTCTGATGAGCTTCTTAAAATAAGGTTGTGCTTATTTATTAATTATTGGTTTTTGAAGATGCTAACCTGAAAAGTAATAACTAAACAAAATTGTTGCAATGATTTCGTCACAGCAGATTATTGGACCTTGAAAGTTCTTATTTTTAGATTCTTTTTGCCTTTTTTCATTTTTTACTTCAGAGAAGTTTGCTAAATTTTGATAGAACTTTCTTGAAACACTTTGTAAATGATATAGTTTAACCAGAGTATGTGAACCTCCACTCTTATGACAAGCGAGAGAAAGCACAGTAGGATGAAATTCTTGCGCTATATCTTACACTTCTTATGACAACTTAATGTGTCTGTGGAGTATTTTCTGCAAATACCTAATACACTTCATGTAATGCATTGCTAGTGTGCCTGGGACATAATCAGTTTGTTAGATTTAGTTTGAATGGAGAGTTGTTTATCTATCTGTTTTGCAAGGCAGCTTTCGATATATTACCATGATAATGAAGCAGCACAATTAAGTCCTTTTATCGTCATTTCCCTTGAACATTAAAAATCACAGATTTGGTGAACGGTTTAAATTTAGTTTGCTACACATGAGAGGGAGAAAAACTACCATGTTTGATGGCCATTATTTTGGGAAAATAGAGTTTTGAATAGTGATTTTTTGGAGAATGCATAGGTTAAAAAAAAAAGGAAAAAGTTTTGGTTTTACTTGCAAAATATTTTATTGTGTAAATGTGTGGTTGAAAATGTGCATGAAAATTAAAGAGAGTTGAAATAATGGTTGTCAAACAGGAGATAAATTAGCAGGATCCTTTGGGCTGGTTTCTGGAATATTACTATTGTGTCAATGATCAATTCCTGCGATGAAAATGTTGCCTAGTCGCCAACATTAGTCTCTATTTCATGGGTTTTCCTCCAAAAACTGCAAGCTTATGCACTTATCATCATGGTTTAAGATGCAGGTTGTAGTATCACTGATCATGCCTAGGCACTGAGCATATTGGATCTATGATAGAGTAGGTACTTTGGAATGTTGGCAATGGCTTCTGCCATGGAGGTAATTCTTTTGCCTTCGGTTGTCCATAAGAAAGAAACCTTTTCCACTATTTTCTAGTTCATTAACTGAAATCAACATTATTGTTGTAAGTAAATATCAACTCACGTTAGATCATCGGCGGTGAGGGTTGTGCTGACTCTGATATTGTTGGTGCGGCCTCCTCCCACTAGATAGTATAAGAGAAACATGATATATAGGATTAAGCTATTTGTACATTCAAATATGTACATCTTGTTTGACAATCCCGTGTGTCAAAAATCTAGCATTTGTTTGAAAAAAGTAGTGTTAAAATCAATATTCAAAATATCTGTCAACTCACTGAAATGTCAAATTAGGTGTAAACAATAATATACATATAGCATGATTCTAATATATGACCTCTATCTGCTTTAAGATCGAAAGTATTCAAGTAATGAAATGCTGGCTTCTCTTTGTTGTGGTATCCTTCAAACATTATATATTTCAAAAATGTTTCATGACTTCCCAGTGTAAGATTTCTGCTCTATATAGTTGTTATTTGTACTTGTTCCTTTCTGATATTTAAGAAATGTGAAACAGGAAGTCATGGTAGAAAACATTTTACCTAATCAAATATTTTGTGAGAAGGTAAATTTTATCAGTTGCTCAGAAATTCACTCCTGTAAGTATTTGCACTTTAGGCAAAAAAAATTTCATGGTTATCATTCCAGCCTAAAGACATTCTGTACTATCTCATAGAAACAAGTTAATTCTTGTGGATGATGCTATCATTTGGAATGGGTCGATTTCTAATTTGCTGTTCTCTTCCTTTGTAGTACGAAGTGTTCATTTCATAAAAATGGTATATGATCCCAATGGAATACGAACTTTTTTAGTGTCGGTTTAATGCAAGTCGAGTGCAATGGGAAACAAAATTTTATCTGGAGATGTAGATTAGTAAAGGAACCTTCGATTTACTTGCTCAACACCCTACAATTATTTAAACTACAATGCATAAGTTTAAATTGTAATGAACAAATTTGAAAACTTTGTTTAAGATTAATTTAAAGGAAAAGAACTCGATTTTGATTGCAAAAGTCTTTGGTTTATTGTCATTTAGAAAATTGTCTTTTGAATCATTAATATGGTATATTGGATAATTGGTCATTTTCTTTATTTCTCATATATATTTTATTAGAGGTTATCGGGCCATTTGGCCAATGTTTCGTGAATCCTAACCTAGTTAGTTAATGGACAAAAAATAGTTAGGGACTCAAATGCTATCTTATGTAAAGAGTAGTGACCTGTTATGCCATTTTCTCTAAAATAATTCATAAAGGTGAAGAGTCAACTTAATCCTCTCTCATGGAAAAAGGTTAAAACCATAAATTTAAAACTAAAATACTGCGTTGAACAAATAGAAAAAAATAAAAAACAGAGAGCGAGGCTCCCCTAGTCCCCACCCCCACCCCCACCCCCAACCCCAGACTTTTCAAAAAGCTACTCTCACCCTCGACCGCCCTCATTTCATTTCTTTCTTTCTTTCATTCTTTCTTTCAATTTACGTCTCCAATTTCATCCTTTCAACCAGCGTCCTCCGCCGCCTGCCCGCCCTCATCCGCCGTCGCAATCGTCTGAGATCACCTCGATCTTAGTCCCGGAATTATTAGAAAAGAAAAAGGCCTAATTACCCTCCATCTCGTTCTTTGTTGTTTTTGATTTTATGGATAAATATGAAATGGATTCCTCGGAGAAAAAACCAGACAAGATGACGAATTCGAATGCGATGATGAATCGGTCTTTAACGGTGATGAACAGGCCAAGTGAAATTACAAATAAACCCCTGTACGACCTGTACACCTCTCCGGCTTTACAGCGTAAGGGATCCATCAAGAACCTCTATAATTCTTCCTTTGGATCAATGGTTTCGGCCGGAGTTTCGTTGAAGGGAAAGGTAAAAAAATTATGTTCAATTTTCGAATCCCCCAAGGAACCCCCAAATTTACAATCCCTGCAACCGTCCTCGCCCGGACCTACGAAGTACACAAAATTGTTGTTGCGACCAGAGTCCAAATCGTTTGACGATTATATCCCTTCTCCGGTCCCAGACTCTCCATTCCGGCTCCCAGGCACGGAGGACAGAGTTGTCATTTACTCTACCAGCCTCCGTGGTATAAGAAGAACATTCCAGGATTGCCATAGTATTCGACTGATATTTAGGGGGTTTCGTGTAAACCTTGATGAGAGGGACTATAGTTACCTACAACGTATGTTTTAGGAATTACATAAAGTATTGGGGGAAAACAATGTGAGCTTGCCCCAAGTCTTTATTAAAGGGAAGTACATTGGTGGAGCTGAAGTTGTTAAACAGCTGCTTGAGGCAGGCGAGCTGGTGAGGCTGCTCAAGGGGCTACCAATGCGTCCGCTGAAGCCTTGTGAGGCATGCGATGATGTGAGGTTTTTCCCGTGCACGGGCTGCAATGGAAGCCGTAAAGTATTTGACGAGGATGAGGAGCAGCTGAAGAGGTGCCCAGAGTGCAATGAGAATGGGCTGGTGCGCTGTCCTCTATGCTGCCTATGAGCGATTATTGTGAGTAGATTTTAATAAGTAGGAAGATGCTGTGATTGCGTGCTACTGAGTACAGTTTCTGGGTCATTGGAATGTTATTGATTATGATATGTGGTTTATTGACTCAAAATACTGAGATGATAGGCTTTGTAAATAGTTTGTAAAGTGCCCATTATGCTGAGGCAGTCGTGGCTATATGCTGCAAAAGTTTCCTGCGATGAAATCTTAATGAAATTGATAATATTGGTGGTTTGAACAACCACTTTGGTTTTATCATCCATGTTCTCCAGATTGCTTTTTAACTGCTTTTCTATATCTCTGGCCCCTGAGGAACACATTACCCTTGTTGGGCTGAAATGATTCAATCCAATTTGAATGTATACGTCATAGTATATGCCAGATGGTGTACACTAATCTGAATGCACAGACTCTAAGTGATACAGTTGCATTTCTTAGGCAGCTAGGGAGGAGTTTAATGAAAAATTGGTTTGTTTTACTAATTGCTTTAAGTTTTAACTGTGCTGGAAATGTTGGAATAAAAAAATTTTATTGTCCTGATGATCTTGCTTTAGTTCAGGTTGTGCTGGAAATGTTGGAATAAAAAAATTTTTCCAATGCTTTTATATTTGTAAGAGATATATACTAAAATCAAGCAATTGAATAAAGGAGTTCTTAGTAAATAATTTTTAATATTATGTTGGTGCGGCTTTGAAGAAATCTGATTTAATTTTTTATAATATATTGTTATAATGCCATTTTTTGGTTTATTATTAATGGAATACAAGAAAACAGAAGAAATTTTGAAATGGTCTCGTAAGTGGTATTAGGTACAATTGAAATGTATAATGAACACGAATTGTACATATTTATCATATGTAATAGTATTCGATGTTATTTAAGATTGATCATTTATAAATAATTTAAAAATTTCGTTGAGATCTCAATAGTTTGCTCCTTGCCATTTCCAGTTCATAACGTCTTGATCCGACACATGTTTAAAAAGTTCACGATTTAGTCCCCAAAATTTCCAAATGTAAACTTTGCTTCCATAAATTCATGAATGTCCACATCTGTCAAACATAGCTGAATTTCATCCAATTTCATCGAGGCTTGAGGAGTTGGGAATTGGCATTTTCCTCGAATTCTTCTATGCTTTCCCCTCATCATACTCAATTCATAGTGTATTGATCTGAATCAAGATTCGAAAGTTTAAGATGTAGTCCCCTAAATTTTCGATTGGCAACTTTACTAGATCTGATCATATTTCTTGTAATCAATTCTTTTACGCTTTCCCCTCATCATTCTCAATTCATAGTGTATTGATCTGAATCAAGATTCGAAAGTTTAAGATGTAGTCCCCTAAATTTTCGATTGTCAACTTTACTAGATCTGATCATATTTCTTGTAATCAATTCTTTTACGCTTTCTCCTCATCATTCTCAATTCATAGTGTATTGATCTNATCATTGTACATCAAGCACTACTCCTATTTAAATGATTTCTGAATTTGTAGTTACTTGGAAGAGTAGAAATTTCAGCACAATCGATACATTTTCATAGTATCAAATTGATGCAGGGATGATTTATTATTTTGGCCCTTGTATACTATAATGATTTTAGAAACTGAGTGATGATTTTTTGCTAGAATAGTGAGTTTAGAAAGAAAATGATAATTGTTTTTCTCTAGAATTATATTGGAATAATATTCTCGAGTGGATAATATTGTTTATTTGCTCATTGTATTGTTGATTATGCATTTCTAACTCTGTCATGAAGATAATGTATGGTTTGATTAGTGGGCATAATAGATTCTGTTAATGAACTCAGTATAGCGTCTTTAAATTTTTTCTATCGATTTTAAGATTTTACCGGTTCTTGTGTCGTGTTATTTAGTTTAGAGCTTCTCATCTCTTGATGCAAAATAGTTTTTTTCAATGACTTCATTTTGTAAGTGGTCCTCTCCCTCTCTCTTTCCAATCTAGACTTTAAGGAGATTAGTTACCATTGTAAATGATGGACATCCCATTTACTTTCTTTAGATTATGCTCAGGCTGAGTTTTTAATTAAGTATTCCATTTGGTGATTTTCTGGAACTCTATGGTAGACTGTTCAACATCTCATAGTTGTACAAATTATAATTGAGAATTTATTCAGATTAAGTTAGTTTCCTGAACTAGCTTATAGGAATGGATTTGTGAGTCAAAATTTGGCATCTTGAATTTTTTAAATCAACTTTGAGAGTATTCTCAATTTGCAAAGTGGATTGTGTTATAAGTTGTGCTCATCTCTATGAAAATATGTTTCTAAAACTTCAATTGAATTTGGATTGCAAAGAATTTTGCTCCCTTTGTTTGCTTCAGGAATTTTGTGGGGTTATATGTTTGAATAATGCTATCTAACACCAGTGATGTTGAACACCAGTTTAGGTGTCAGCCTATCATAAGCCATATTAAATTGGTCATAATTACTTGTAATTAATTGAACTTATAATTTAAACATCAGTGGTGTTAGATAACAGTACTTTGATAATTTGGTGCTTTTTAATCTTGTCTAGTATATAACATCAACATGAAAGGGTGTGACCTTCCTACATATAAGGTTTTGGAAGTTTGACAACATATTTTACCATTTTTCAGCCGACAAATCCTCTCAGAAAATTTGAAGACAAATTGCATTTTATGCACATAGGAGAATAACTACACATATTGAAGGTTCTTATTGTCTTTGTGATTCCTGTCGAAGAACTAACGGCGTTTAAGGAAATTTGTGCTTTCCACAAACTTAGCCTGCCGCTCAGGTGTATGCACTTTCGACGCTTAGATCAACATATATTTTTTTAAAATCTTATTTTGACTAAAATTTATTTGGATTCGAGTCAACCAGCTTAAAAACTGGACCTTATCGAATACCATCCTCTGCAGATAGGAATGTAGTTAGGACATAAACATCTGTTGATGAATTTAGCAAGCCTCCAATAATTGTGTATAGTTGGAGATTTTGCTATATATAAATATAATAATAAAGGTGGATTGGTGCGTTTTCATGCTGAGTAATGCTACTTGGAGTCGTTTACTACAACAGTCGCCCTATATGTCACACATATGGTATGTAGTTATTTGATGCATTAATGTGATAGTTTTTTTTACCACATTTAATGCATCAAATACACACTTGACATGTAGGGCGACTGCTGCAATGAGCGACTGCAAGTAGTATTATTCTTTCATGCTTAGGTGTTTGTCGTTCTCGGTGTGCTCAATTCGGATTGAGAGGAAGGTAAGTCCTCATCTAATATACGAAATTTTAGTGATTTGAGTTTAATTTTCACCCGTCAAGACAAGGAAAAGTGCTATAAGGCAGCTTTAAGGGTTCACCTATGACAAGTAAAAAAAAAAATAATTTAAAGGAACGAGTCTTACTACCAAATATATTATAACATAATGGACTACAAGTTTCCATCTCACTTTTAGTTTAATAATGGAAATCTAATTTACAGATTGGCAAAAGCGTTCTTTTGTAATCAATCCTTTTTTGCTTGAAAGTATTTCTCTGTACAACAAACAGGGAATTAAATTAATTTTTAGTACGTTTTGTGACAAAATAACGGTCTCCATAAAGTGAAGAACTAAAAAGCCTTGTAGGGAAGCTATTGAGATTTCAACCTTTATGTTGTTATCGTATAATCCTATTTAGCCCCTGTTTGATTTGGATAAAAATAAGATTTTTAATAGATTTAGATAAAAGTTGATGAAATGTGTGGTTGAAAAGTTGTAGATTCTATAAAATTTGTGATTAAAATTGTTAACTTGAACTTTAATTCGTATTTTTAGATAAACAAAAAAGGGCTTAATTTTCACCAATCTTTGTGCTTATGACTAAATATTTGTAATTATTCTAAATGGGTCTACATCATTCTTAAGGGTTTGGCTCGTCGACTTATAACAAATTGAATATCTACCTTTTGCAAATCGATGTTAATGGCAAATATTACCTAACTTGGTGTAAACAACTGATCCCATAATATATACTTTTATCAAGATCACCCGCATAACTGATGATTCTAAGAAGGTTACTTTTAGTAAAAGACTAATAGTGCAAAGTTATAACTAGTAATAAAATCTGCCATTGACAATGGTCCTAAAAGGAGGAGCCCATGTCTCTAAATTGAGGCTTGGTTCGTGGAATTTTAATCACTTGGGCATCATCCTCTTATATGCCAATTTTAAGGGTGATTCTACCCAACATGGTTAAGGTGATATTTCAAGCTAGAATTCACGTGGGACTTGGTTTTTATGGTCAAATACCTACATTTTTTTTTCTATTTTGAATAACCTCTCCAAAGACATTGAAATAGTTCCATTCTCTTGAGACAGAGCACAATGCACTTGTACATAATGGACAATACACATAATCTTTTACACCAATCTCTTCTTGCGCAAACTTTTTCATGTAAGAAACCTTCCCTTCTACTCATACCTAAGAAAAGCTAAAATCACTAGTCTACGTAGTGCATATTTGGTACGCAGTATGAGTCCGAATTAGACACTTCTTATTCTTTACACGGTTTAGAGTACTATGCAATCAACTCTACAAAGCAATCCAATACAATTCGAGTTAATTACAGACTCTAAAGATTCTCTCCCTACATTGAAATTCTGGAGCTGGAATGCTTATTAATTGTGTTTCCTACAGATTCCTTTTACAAGCTATTGTGTGAGCGGCATACATTCAAGCTCGATTTCTACAATTCCACATTCAACATTCTGCAACTGGATACAAATATCCTGCTTCACCCTACCATCTTCAGAGGTGATGACACCATCACGAACGAGTGCATTTTCTTTGCTCGCCTTCAACTTTCCAAGCTGTGTTGACTCGTAGATTGAGGAGCACTCGAAGGCGTTTGCAGCAGTCACCAGAGGCTGAATATCAATCTCAGCATCCCCCATAAAATCGTCAGGCGTGAATGTATCCTTGTCGTATACAAGCTGATAAATCATAATAGTAGTTCTTAGCAAATAAGTTCAATGCCACAGATATAACTTAAAGACAGAATTGAATTACATGGAAAAAAACAAATTATGTATCTAATTGTCCTTGACAGATGCGAATGCATACATCCCTATCATTTAACTACTAGTTCTGGTAAAAAGTAACTTTAAAAACCTTGTTTCTTCACTCAGATTTCACCTTTATTGATAACTTCATTCATATATATTCATCCGGACAACCATAAATGAGGAAACCATAACTTCATTCGATATTCATTGATTCAAAATATTATTTCTTAAGAAGAATAAACGTTGCTGCAAGAAAAGAGATGCGTGCATTGCCTAAAATGATGTTTGAAAAGGTAGGAATGACTGGAGGGCTCAGTTTCAAATTGCTCCCAAATGCTTTGAATTCTAATGATTTGTACACTCAAAGGTCACCTGATATCACTATAAATAAATAAAGTTACCTTGACAATTCTACTTATACAATCTCTGAACTAAAGACATGCTTATTTAACCATATGAACCTCTCCTCTCTCTCTCTCTCTCACTCGGGTTTCTCTTCCATCAAATCTCTACTTATCTCAAAATATCTTCTTTTAATTAACAATCCAAATCAGTGTTTGTATAATATGGAAAGCATAATAATGAAAAGTTCCCTCCACGTCTAAAAAGTCAAATTACTTCATATTTATCCCCAAACATTTTCCCTCAAAGCAGTAAATGCAGAACTATCTGAGAAACAGAATTTTCATTATAAAATCCTTGGAAGAATGGTATATCAACGTGAAGAAAAATTTCCCACAATTGACAATCTCCTGGTGCAAGTTTTCTGAATTCTTCCCATCCACATTACATGCAAGCGAAACATATGACAAAAATCTTTTTAAGATTGGTGAAATCCATTTCTATTAACCGAGGCCGTTACCTTCACAGTCTGAGTAATGTCATCCATTGAATTGTTCAATATTTTTTCCATAATATCATCAAAATGTGTTAAAGATATCATGACAAAGGCCACCATCAAGTTCATAACCTCTTAACCCAAATCTAGCCAAAGAAGTTAAAAGCTTGTTTGGCACAGATTTTTCCAAGTGAAATAACATTTTTTTGGAGAATGTGTCGTTAAAAAGTGGGTAAAGTTGTGGATTCCATAGGTGTGGTTGAAAATGATTTTAAAAAACTCTGTGTCAAACAAGCTCTAAAACTGTACTAAATGCTTTTCAAACCATCAGGAGATTGCTGGATAGTCACTCTCCACATTTCTGATGAGGGCCTGAAAAATAATTTAGTACTATTGAAAACAGGGAGGAGGGTAGTTGGGGTTTAAATCACTCAAAGATTGAAAATCGTTACTGGAATGGACTTTCAATGAGCACATCGGTACAAAATTCCAGTGAACTGTACCAGAATGCTATCATAACCATTCCGCACTACAAAAAAAAGATGAAGATAATCCAATTTGTTTTTACTCATTGGCAAATTTCTACCATACTGTACAACGACTGCTACACTCTTTGGAGCCGGGGAAAGGGGGGACCGGGGCTGGGGCTGGGGGAAGGAGTCTCAAAATATTTCTAACAGTTGCACTTGTGAAAACTGAAAGGCTGGCATGTTGTCATGGTTGGAAAAGAAACAAGTTTTGATTAGATACATGGAATTGACTAAGTATTTTATTTGAGCTTGCATATCAAAGAACACAACTTATATTGAACTTTGTTTGGGTCTCTGAGAAAATATCAATATCCTGCAGTTAAACGACTACTCTTATTGCTTTTCGAGTTGTTTATCTTGTCTTTCGCAACAGAAAAATTCAGTCGAAGATTAGTTGAAGATGTATACTGTAGGAGTGAAACTTCCCAATATAAATGGAATAGAAGAGCTTGCTAGACTTCTAGAAATATGTCCCAACTGATTAGAATGAAAATACAAAAAGAGGAGGGAATTGAATTTCATCTCTCCCTTTTTGTCCTTCTAATATTTTCGTTAATTAATTAGCAAAGTCCTTATGAGTCAAAAGAAGCAAAAACACATTCATATGAATAATAATGGAAATCCACTCATTAATTGACAAAAAGTAATCCTGAGGGAAAATTTAGGAAAATCGTGTACAGCTGTAAATAATCAAGAATATGCTGCAATCATTATAATTGCTTAGCTTTAGGATACTTATTGCAATCTTTGATCTGTAGGGATTGGTTTTTGATCTGTATCTTTGATTTTTTGGTAAGTTTCCTAGGTGGGCATATCCATGTTTGGGCACTTCACATGATGGGTAGAGCGATGGGTCTTCCTCTTGCAATCAAAAGAGGCAAGTAGGCGGAAATTGGTACACTTTTAGTAATTTAATTAATCGAGAATGAGTAATGTCGACTCCTGACCGTCACCCCCATTCATGAGATTTTGCTGATTGGTATTCAGCTATATAAACCCTTAATGATAGTCCATCAATACAATTCATAATTTTCAATCTCCTATTTTCTGTCAAATTCATGTCAGTGAATGTTTTAAAAGCTTTGCAATGTGGTTAAATAGGTCATAGCCTTATCTTTGGCTTTCTCTGATGTCTAGCATATCATGGTAACAAGGAAACTTACCAACTTCAGCGGTGGAACGTTTTCAGGAATTGACAACATTAGCTTTTCATTCCAAACTGGATTCAGGTTACTATTTATGACGCGTGTCTTCATTGACTGCAACAGATACAAAAATCTTTAAAACTTTCATCTCCTTTACACTTGCACGTGGACATGAAGAAAATGAGTTATTAGTAGAAGAGATTTACTTGATTTCCCAGTGAGAGGATGACGTATGGGTCACTTGTCAATATATCTCGGATAGCTAGGTTGGTCCCTCGCACTACGTTAACCTTGATCAATCCTACAAATTCGACCATACCTGCCTATACCACATATGGAAAAAGTAAGATTTATGCATCCCTGCTCAACTGAAAGTTAATGTAGTGATGAACAATACTTGGAAAAAAAATCATTGCAAAATTCATTGTAGGAGGATATGTGATCATATAAAAAAGACTTAATTTGCTCTAAAGAATGTGTAAATGTACACCCCTCCCACCACAAAATTGTAAGAACTATAATAAGTTGATCCTGGCTATTCTTGTTGATGGAGAACTCATAGCACGCAGGCCCTTTCCTTCTTAAATTTTAAAGTGCGCATAAAAAGTAAGAGTTGCATTTTCCTTTTATCATTTCAAGATCAGGATATGAAATCTTATTTTTACAGAAAGATCAATACCATTGAGGTGCTTTTCTTTGTTCCCTTGCTTTCAGATCTTCTCCAGCTTTTGCGAAGTGCATGGCCTATACCCTGAATGCGATTACTGGTGGTTTGTTTCTCATAGTGTTTTCTCTCACTGGGTGATTTAGAATAACAGATTAAAGCACTACAATCTGAGGGCGATGGAGCTGGAAAGGGGCATGACATCTGCTTATCTTTGTTCAGAAACTGTTGCAACTCATATTTTCTCCTGAGCATCCAAAACGGGGGTCTCTAAATCAGAATGGACTTTGTTAATTGAAAAAAGAAAATCTTTGTACTTCTAATACCTTATGAAATCTTCTCGCTCCTCTATAGAGGAATTTGGTTTTGGTTTCTGATAATTATCTGGAATACAAGCTTCATATTTCAAGTTGACTGCAATATTTCCTCCCATTTCGATTAACTCATCAACTTGCTCATGGGTCCATTCATCCAGCTTCACCGATAAAACCTTCAAAATAGACGCGAGAAAATATGTTAAAAAAGTACATATATATCGCACTGGTGAAAATATTTTATATAATCAGACTCGACATAACAATTTCATTATGATTTAAAGTAGATTGGATAGAAGTTGATGTACCCAGGGGACTAAAAGCTCCAAATTTTAAGTGGACAAGCCACTTACTGAAAATAGTTACGTAGGATTAAAATATCAAATATGCAAAATATACAAGGATAATTTAGGTATCTCAGAGCATATATTTGAATCTGGATGGACTTGGTGAAAATAAGCGATAAATCACTGTTCTAGTGGTTTGTCTCTCTCTTACAAAGAAAATTCCATATTTGGACACAAAAAACCCTGTAAGTCTGTAACGATTCGGGATTCATGTTCCACAATTCCCATGAACTGAAATTTTTTATGTGAATATGGTGACTTGACAAGCAGTAAGAAATTGGTCCTCACAATATGGATTCTCATTTTCTACAGACATCTGTAGATGCATAGCTTCCTAACCTATAAATTAAGCATGAGAGCTGTTTGTAATTTAGAGTTTTAGACATTTTGACTTGCATATAAACAACTTGCACAATCACACCATCAGAAGGGACAGATAGAATTTTAATATATAAGAAAATTGCCGAATGGCAGTATCATAATCACATGGTCATGTAGCCTAAATACTGTTTGTGCACATTTTTCTTCTTTGTTAACTATCCTTCCCTGCTAACCATTCTCTTCAATTTGTTAATTACTATATATGGTCAGTTCATCTATAAAGATGGAATTGGTAGCACTGGAGTATGTTTTATGATAATATCAACTATAATACACTTTCAGTTGTTTTTCTTATTTCCTTAACACATTCAGTCAGTTAATGAACCAAACTGGCCCTTTCTTGATAGCTCTTCACTAAGGGTTCAAATTATGATGCCTCTCCACAAAGGAAACAGGTAACATGGATCAAGCACATATAGACCAGTCAACTTGGATTCACTGAGATGATACATTCATGTCTTCATATTCAAGATCCAAAAGCTTTTTGGAGAGGCATCAAAACAAACATTTATAGGAAGATAATTCTTGCCTCATCATTTGTTGAAATTTTCAATTTTTTTTTGAAAACTGGTGACCAGGGTTCAATCCCCAGACACAACATTTGGATTTCCATTTCATCCACACAAATTTTTAAAGAGGCTACTAATCATAAGAGTGATGCAATCTCTGCATAACATATTAGAACAGAGAGAGGCGGACTAAAACTAGTGTAATCTTTTATGGTTGCTAAGGATCTAGCTGCATTGGATCTTCCAGAAAATATAGTGGTGAATCGAATGGACGAAATCAATTCATGTAGTAGATCCCAAATTATTAGAATGGCTTGGTTGTATTTTGTTGTTAGAAAACTTAGTTGACAAACTTACAATTTCAGTACTATTTAAACAACAAAAAACTAGCATTTTCGTCCAATGGAAAAATTTTGGATTTTGAATTAAACGTTAAGATCAACACACCTTCGTTCTGTGTGCTCCAAGGCTTCTATGTACTCCAGAGCACTTGATGCAGATAAATGCTCTGAAGCTCAAGGATCTGCTTGCCAAAGATTGAAACATAAGTGACACTTGAGCCAATTACAAAAGAAAATACAAGAATCAGAAAAATTAATTTAGGGACTGATAAATAGACCCATGGTTAAAATATCCAAAGAGATTGGGAAACCATAAAAAATTGTAGTTTGAGTATGTTAAAGTAAAAGAATTAGAAGGCTTAACAATTGTGTTAGCCTGTCCCACTATTTATAATAAGAGTTAGGAAAACCTTAGGAAACCCTAAGTATTACATAAAAGAACTAAATACCCTTTAACACTCCCCCTCAAGATGGAGCATATATATTGTGTGCTCCAAACTTGTTACAAATGTACTTTATCCTTGAGCCCCCCAACGGTTTAGTAAATATATCAGCTAACTGATCAGCTGAATTTACATATTTAGTCTCAATCTGCTTCTGCAACAATTTTTCTCGAATAAAGTGACAGTCAACTTCAATGTGCTTCGTTCTCTCATGGAAGACTGGGTTGGATGCAATGTGAAGTGCTGCTTGATTATCACATACCAGTTCCATCGGTGAAGTGTGTTCAAATCCAAGTTCTTCCAACAAATGTTTCAACCATGTTAACTCACAAGT